GCAGGGCTGTTGGACAGATTGTTGGTACTTTGTCTTGGTGAAGAGGCAGCACTGGTTGACAGGCTGTTTTTCGAACGTGGGGAAACCGACGAACTATTTGACAAAGTTCTAGCTCTCTCTCTCGGTGAGGCAGCAGGGCTGTTGGCCAAACTGTTTCTGTGCTGCACAATCGCTCGCGGAGTGGCCAAACTGTTGGCTCTCTGTCTTGGGGAGGACGTACCTGTACTGGTCGACAAACTGTTCTTCTGGTGCACGATCGATTTCGGTCTCGGCGAGGCCAACGGATTATTCGGCAAGCTGTTTTTTCTCTGCACAATCTCTTGCAGTTGCTGCTTTGGAGAGGAAGCCGGGCTGTTGGATAAAACGTCTTTCCGTTGCACGATCTGAATCGGAGGGAAGACAGTTTTGTTCGACAAGCCGTTCTCCTGTTGTCCTGTCTCTGGTTGTCTCGACAATGGACTGTCGGATGACAAAACGTCCTTCTGTTGCATCATTGTTTGTTGCTTTGTGCTACAACTCATCGCTGAAACAGATAGGTTCTTCTCACGAGCTGACTCTGACATCGCGAGACTCTATTCTGTAAGACACAATACACACATCTTGAGTGTATCCAGACTCCTTTGTCCGATAAATAATACATGCATTATGAGCAAGTGAGCTGGTCTCATCGTATTGTAACACTCATTATGTGCTAAATGACAATGATCGGTTTACATGTCTACTGAACTGAAAACCAGTGTCCTTGCCTTTGTAAGTCAACATAAAGAACCGATTATGTGATATACAAGAGCCTTGTAATTAATTTTGTAAAAACTAGGCTAAATAAATTGCATTAATAGGTTAATAGCTTCTCTAGGAGACAAAATGGATGAGTGCCAAGAACTCTTCCTTGACTTTATTAATTAATCAAAATAAGCCGATTGCTAGTACATTTATATCTGTAATGTATTGTGTCAGTATGTCCATTTTTCTCAATTTATAATACCAGTTCTCTATTGCAATCTTCATATTATTACAATGAATAAAAAAACTCTATCACAGAATTCGCAGTCAAGAATCTGACCTTAAATGACCGTGGTTCATGATTTGTTAACGACCTTGGCTCATGATTTCTTTACGACCTTGGCTCATGATTTCTTAACGACCTTGACCTTTGAGTTCTAAGCGACGACATCAGCCACAATTTTCCACACAATAGCGTGAGAGACTCCCATGCTGAACATCAAGGTGTGGGAGGTGACAACATCATTTGTCTCTGACAAACCTTGAGTGACAGATAGAAGTGGTCTGAGTGTCATATCCAGAACTAACATTGCCTATCTATTCTATGCCTGAATGGGTTAGGGTTAGGGGAGGGCCTGCATGGGGGGGGTGGTAATAATGAATTACGAAAAAATTTTCACTGCCGAGCACGAATTACGTTAAACTTAAAGTCTCAGATTGATTACGACTTTACGCTTTGCGGCCAATGTACTCTTACGAATTACGTTGATTTTTTGGGAGGCTGCCTACGGATGACTATAAGGATTATCATAAGATTTAAAGGCCTTCTGATTAAGCCTTACGAAAAAGGGCATGCAGGCCCCTTAGGATTCTGGATAGTCTCTGCATATCAAAGAACATAGATTTACCTAATAGATGGTTTTGGATATGCATGGACTATCCAAGACCATGCTTGAGCATTGTTGTTGACAATGTATGGTTCTGGATACAACATACTACAAGTATTATTAATAAAAGCTCTCCTGACAGCAACTTCCTTCATTTCAAATGCAGTTTCCAAAATGATCAACAGGAGGCACTACTGCACAATTCATCAAAACTTTCAACAAGTGTTCTACAAGAAATTTATCTGACCATGGAGGTAGAAAATTTCTACCTCCATGATCTGACACACACCTCCATTGACGTATCCAGAACATGCTCTATCCAGCCTTGTCGCCAATCGGCGACACTTTGGAATATCCCAAATGTGCTTCTTCCGATGCAGCCACGTGTGCTAATTGGTACCATGGTGCAGTCAATCAACATGATTGACAGGACCGCAAACAGTCATTTTCGAC